GTTTACAATACATCTTCAAGCAGAAGGAGTTGAATTTGAGGCAGCGTAGGTGGCTTGAATTATTGAAAGACTACGACGTCGAGATATTGTATCATCCCGGTAAAGCCAGTGTTGTGGCAGACGCTCTCAACCGTAAGTCAATGGGAAGCTTAGTACATATTGAGCAGGTAGACGGGGGTTGACTAAAGAGCTTCATCAACTAGCCAATATGAGAATCAGATTGTTAGACTCTGATGACGGAGGTGTTATTGTACAGAATACATCAGAATCATCTTTGGTAACCGAGGTAAAAGCACAGCAATATGAAGATCCTATCTTAGTACGATTGAGAGAGAGCATTCGGCAGTATAAAATTACGGCTTTTGAGATCGGAGGAGATGGGGCACTGAGATAGGGCCGATTATGTGTGCCTAATGTGGCAGGGTTGCGAGAGAAGATTATGAATGAGATTCATCAATCTCGATATTCCATCCATCCCGGCTCGACAAAGATGTATCATGATGTTAAGGAGCAGTATTGGTAGGATAACATGAAGACGTCTATTGCAGAATTTGTAGCCCAGTGTCCCAATTATCAACAAGTAAAGATAGAACATCAGAAACCCGGTGGATTGCTTCAGAATATAGAGATTCCGACCTGGAAATGGGAGGTGATTAATATGGACTTCATTATTGGATTACCTCGCTCTTCTCATAAGTTTGACTCCATCTGGGTGATAGTTGATCGACTTACAAAATGTGCCCATTTTCTGCCAGTTAAGACAACTTACACGGCTGAAGATTATGTGAAGTTGTATATCAAGGAGATTGTTAGGCTTCATGGTGTGCTGGTGTCTATTATATCATACCGAGGAGCTCAATTTACGGCTAACTTTTGGAGGTCTTTTCAGAAGGGTTTAGGCACACAAGTGAATCTCAGCACTGCATTTCATCCGCAGACCGACGGACAGGCTGCACGTACCATTTAGACACTTGAAGATATGCTACGAGCATGTGTTCTAGATTTCAAGGGGAATTGGGATCTTCCACTCATAGAATTCACCTACAATAATAACTACCATTCCAGTATTAAAATGGCCCCATACGAGGCACTATACGGGAGGAGATGTAGATCACCAGTTGGATGGTTCGAAGTCGGTGAAACAGAACTATATGGGCCAGATTTGATTCACCAAGCCATCGAGAAGGTGAAACTGATACAAGAGCGGCTGAGGACGGCACAAAGCAGGCAAAAGTCTTATTTTGATGTCCGACGACGTGATCTGGAGTTTGAGGTTGGTGATTAGGTTTTCCTGAGGATCTCGCCGATGAAGGGTGTTATGTGTTTTGGGAAGAAGGGTAAGCTGAGTCCGCGGTATATCGGTCCGTACAAAATTTTTCGACGAATTGGACAGGTTGCTTATGAGTTAGAATTGCCATCCGAACTGGAATTTGTCCACCCGGTATTCCATGTATCTATGTTGAGGAAATGTATTGGAGGCCCTTCTTGAGTCGTCCCTATCAAAGATGTACAAGTTACAGAGGACCTATCATATGAAGAAGTGCTGGTGGCTATATTAGATCGACAAGTCCGCAAGCTAAGAACAAAGGATGTAGCTTCCGTCAAAGTATTGTGGAGGAACAAAAATATGGAAGAAATTACATGGGAAGCAGAAGAGGAGATGAAGTCTAAATACCCTTACTTGTTCCAGATTCATGATAACGAGGATGTCGGGGGGACGCAGGACGCATTAGAAGGTGAAACAGCTCTATGAGGTAAGCAATAGCTTGAGAGTACTCTTCCTTAATACACAATGGTGATATGCATATAATGTACATATCCATAATGCTTTGCGTAGCCTTGCAAGGCAATACGTTGGGTTTAACTACTTGAAAGTTTGTCTAGTATCCATCTTATAGGGGAAAACTCGGTCGGAAATTTCCGTTGGAATCCACGATGAGTTAGGCTCCCCATAAATCCCTACATTCGAGGACGAATGTTCCTAAGGGGGGGAGGGTGTTACAACCCATATTCACGTACGTTGGTTCATGCCATAAGCTAGTCGACGTAAATCTAAGAAGTGATTATTTTTGAAATGATAAGAAGTTATTCCTATTGATCTTAAATGATACAAGAGTGTATAAGGGTGATTAACAAGTATTAGAAGTTAAACGAATCAAGGATGTTGTAACTCGTATTCTTAGGTAAGCCTAGGGGTGCTTAATATTCTCAATAGGTCGTATTTTAAGGTATTTGAATCATATAATATCCGTATCATAGTCTTGAAGTCAAACGAGTTATGAAACAAAAGTCGACAAGAGTTGTCGCAACTTAGGTTCATAGTTTTACTTAAACTTTAGGTCAAATATTATTAAGCTTTTCTCCCAATGTACTTGGAATTACGGGGTGATCTACCCACCAAATTGAAGATCTATGAGTCTAGTTTCCAATGTATTAAACTGTTTATCAATACGACATCGGAGGACAGAGATATAGGCATTTTTGCCAGACTGCACAAGCTGCTAGGTGACAAGTAGGTGTGTCACCTACTTGGTTAAATGATAACCCAAAATAGACAATTTCGGGTCGGCCAAAGAGCCCATTTAAAGGGTTATCTCCTGAAATATAACCCTTATTATATATCACAAATAACCAGTCCTAAGACTCTGCAAACTTCCTCCCAAAAATTTTCCACAAACCTTAATCGATTTTCTCTCTCTTTCAAGTTCTAATTGGGAGTAAAACCTAGAGTTTGAAGAACCAAGGGAAGGGCTGAGTTATTCCACAAGTAAGGTAAGTTTACTGCTCTCTTTCATCCATTTTTTCTGCTGTGAATTCATGGTAATTCGTTCTATACATGTAAGAACTCACGGAACGGTGATCGGAAGCCGTGAGTTCGAGTTATTCACTTGTAGCGGACTGTTTTGTGTTGCTGTTGGGCTGCGTGTTTTACTACTGTTTTGTGGAGTTTTGGAGGAGGAAGGGTGTGGAAAAACACCATATAGATGTAGGGTTGTGGGCTGGTTGTTCTTCGTAATATTTTCGGGTCGTTTGACACGACTACGGTGGCCGTCGTATGTATGAAGTGATTAGGTTGTGTGTGGACTGTTTTGGGAGGCTCAATATGATTATTATTGATGTTGTTTGGGTTGTTTGGTGATTGTTTTGAATTGTGTGAATTCATATATATAGGGGAGGTGCTGTCCGTTTCATCGTAAAATAGGTTGTGGTCAATACATAATAGTTATGACGCTTAAATGATAACGATAGGGTCGTTTCTCTTATTGTAGACTAAGGAGTTGTGACAATTTCATAGCTTGAGATTGGGGCAGTATATAGAAGGTATGTGAGGCTATCCCTTTCCTTCTTTTGCACGACTCCGATTGTACATAATGCAATGAACGAGCTTCCAAAGATACTCTGCTCTTAGAAGCTAGCAGTACTTACATTGTTTCCCTTCTTATGGAACAATTGATGTTGGGGTTGCTTCTCTTATTCTTATGTTATCAATGTTGTTGGTACTTCCTGATTCTTATAAGATTTTTGATGAAGAGTTAGTCCTAATAATGTGTACGGAGAATATCGACTTTACATCACTCCGAAAGGTTCAGAATATGATTCCAATGAGTCCTGCATGCATTGTATATATACGTATCTATTTTACTCTACCGAGCCGCACTATAGTCGGCCGGGTACGACACCTATTGTGCAACCACTGATCAGTTGGGTTTTACTGAGCTCCACGTAGCCGGGTACGTTTTTACCGAGTCCTCTTTGAGGCCAGGTACGTTGTGATGATGATGATGCCCACAGAGGCGTGTGTATTAAAAGTTTATGTATATATATGTCTGTATCATGCATTTCATGTCAGTAGCCCACAGAGGTACCCAGATGTTACAGGTTGTATATTCTCTATCCTTATTCACATTACTGTTCATAATTATGCTTTCCTGCCTTGCATACTCAGTGCTTTATTCGTACTGACGTCCTTTTTATTTGTGGACGCTGCATGTCGTGCTGCAAGTCCTGATAGACGGGGAAGACGCAGCTCCCCACCACAGTAGGCTTTCCAGTTTAGCGGTTATAGGCGAGATCCCTTCTCCGGACTTGCCGTGGTCTTGGTATGCATTTTTGTTATAGATATTATGGGTGTGTCGGGGCCCTGTTCCGGATATGTTGCATTACTTATGCTCCTTTAGAGGCTCATAGACAGGTGTCGGGTTATGTATAGTTTGGTATGCCTTGTCGGATGATTTTTGTTGTATAGTCTTTCATGGAAGCGTGGTAGCTCCTAACTTATATGTAATTTCTTGGTAGTCTTGTTATCCCATGTTATGCATGTTCGTTCCATTATCTTTCATTGTTTGGTGTTCATAATCCATATCTACCACTTATATTGATCTCGTCGGCCCTTAAAGATAATAAGAAGATTAGATAAAATGTACGTTGGTGCTCGACAAGTATGGCCCGGGTACTAGTCATGATCCTCCAGTTTGGGTTCTCACAAAAGTTCAAAAACAACACAAAATTATATTCATGTCCAAACATAACTTTACTTTTTAAATACTATTTTCACTTGAAAAAAAATTCACTTTTTTTTCGGAATTTTTCAATTCTTATGTCCAAACGCCCACTGAAAAATTCCAAAAATTTTTACTCAAATCACTCATAAAAATTCAGAAACAACTCAAATTTTTTATTCACATCCAAACATAACTTTAATTTTCAAATATCATTTTTACCCGAAGAAAAATTCATTTTTTTCAAAATTTTATAATTCTTATGTCCAAATGCCCGCCTTATTTTAATTATTTTCCCCTTTTTATTTTCACCATTGCTTAAACTTTTAGTACGGAGTAGTACTTATTTCACTTTTCAAGATCATTTTATATCCCATAATAGCCCTGCAAAGGCTATTATTACTTCTGTCATATTTGGACCTTTGATTAGAAAACTCTCTGCCCAACTGCCCCCGGCAATTTTAACTTTGAAACGTCAGTTCCACTTAACCAGAGTTAAAAGGAACATCCTGAGAAGGAAAGGGAAAAAAGAAAACTCTAAATCCAATGTTTTTGGTGGCTTCCAACTGAGCTTGGTAATTGGTATGCATGGACTCCTTCCATGTTTCTTTTCTGTAATAATTTCTTTTTCCTTTTGGATTAATTTTTTTTTCTAGTTAAATGCTTTGTTTATCTTCTTTTTGAATGAATACTCCTTTGTAGATGTTGGTTCTATATATGTGCATGTGTTTTCCAGATTAATTAGTTTGATGCCTAATCTAGACAAAGCTCTGAATAAGCTGATTTTTTGTGTTTTAAAGATGCCCCAAATTAGATAGGAGTGTTACTGTAGATGTTAGCAGTTTTGTAAAGCTTATTTTAGCAGCAAAAGAAAATGTGTTTCCTGTTTTTGGTGCTTTGATTTTCTCTTTTGAATAATATTACATAGTATTCAAGTAGAATGCCTTACCTTGGTACTACTATTATTTATTTTCTTATTGGTGATTACTATTTTATGATACCGCGATATTTTTTGGATGCTATTGTGAACTGCTGTTATAGAGTACATATATCATAACATAACATAAAAGATCGGTTCCGAGGAAAACTTGGGTTTTATAATAAATGGTTGTTATATAAAAATGTTGTTACAGAGAGGTCGGACGGAAAGCATAGTTGTCAAAAGTTTATCTGTGCTATTTTGTATGTTACACTGGAGAGTCTTGATCAGAATCTAAGAAATCAATACCCTACCCCCCCCCCCCCCCTTCTTATTTTGTTTTATTTTTCCTATTTGAGTCATCAAAGAGCCTTTAAGTCTAAGAAAATGCATGTACTTATTATGTTGATTATGCTGTTTTATTGAGATATCTAGTGTATTTTTGCTCCTTGTTTCTCTTTTGTGGAATATTTTTTTAGAGTTGATTAATTTGGTATATTTGATTCTCATTTTCAGGAAGAAATGTCTCCAAAACGTATCAAAAGAAATCAATCAGCTACAAGTCAGGAGCCAATTGTTGATGAAGATATAATCAGCAACTTGCCAAGGAATGTAATAGATTACATTCTAGGGAAAATGCCTATACGTGAAGCTGTAAGAACCAGTGTGTTGTCAAAGAAGTGGAGATTTTACTACTTAACCATTCCTCAATTAGTGTTTGATTACCAGTTCGTCAAAGAACTTTATTACTTTGCCATCAAGAGGTGTGCTCCTATATTTTCTCTATTTGAGTTCAAGTACCAATTTAACGAAATTGTCACCAAGTCTCTTATGCTTAATCCTGATCGAATAGAGAAATTTAGAGTATTGATTCCTAATTTCAATAGAGCACGGGTTCCTGATGTTAACAAATGGATACTATACTTATCTCAGAAGAACATCAAGAAAATAACCTTAGAGTACCCAAAGGTTATTGTACGCCATGAGTTACCTCCTTATTTCTTTTCTTGTCTGGACTTGACATACGTGAAGCTCAACAATGTTGATTTTTCGCTTCCTCCAGAGTTTAAAGGCTTCCGTAATCTCGACCGATTATCACTTTCTCGGGTTCGCCTCGCAAACAACTGTTTTGAACGTTTTCTCTCCAGCTGCCCTGTTCTTAAAATGCTTGTGTTGCATAAGTGTTCGGGCATTCGTCATTTTATTATCAGTGGTTCTAACCTGTTGCGCATCAAGGCCGCTTATATGTTCCAATCTATCTCCTTAGAAAACGCTTCTAACTTGGCTGAAGTGTATGTTACACTGGAGAGTCTTGAAATAGGTTTGGAAGGCAATCCTATCTTTGATTTGGTTAAGTTTGTGGGTAGCTTGCGTAACGTCAAAAGACTTGTTCTAGATGGCAAATTTCTGCAGGTTAGTACTGCTATTGAAATTAATTATACATGTCTCTATTTCCTTATTGCTAAAATCAAGTTTATCTTTACCTTCACAGCTGATATTATATGGGTTCCAAGAATTCTTGTTTTATTTAATCTGATTGAAATGTTTTTTAAACACATAATTCTTTCAGCTCCTAGCTGGAACACCTGTTCCGCCTACACTATAGACTTCACCAAACTCTCTAAAGATTCTTGAACTCTTTGGTGTAAACTTTATCGACTTTGATCAAATATCTGTTGTTGTATGCTTGCTCAGAAGTGCTCCGAATTTGCAAGATCTTCATATTCAGGTAAGTGGTAACACTCCATCTAATTTAATATAACCTGTTTTTGAAATAAATAAGCACTTATTAAGTGTTCTGCTCTATTTTCATGTAGGCTTCTACAATCAAGATAAACCAAGAACATGTCTCAAGTTTTCTTAAACTCCTGGATTGCAGACCCCTTAGCAAACTTCAACTGGTCAAATTAACAAATATCTCAGGTTGCGATCCTGAGTTTGAGTTTATCCGGTTCCTTCTCTTTAGCTCGCCATCACTTGTGACAATGAGCATTGTAGAGCACCCAGAGCTTGAAGCAGAAGAAGCGCAGAATATAGGTAGGAAGCTGCTCGAGTTTAAGCCACCATCAGCGGTGTCTGTAGATTTTTCAAGGGACAGTGAAACCTAAGTTTCAAAGTGGTGGTTCGGGGAACTGGCATTGGTAAGAGAATTATTTCAACTTTACTGCATTACATTTACTGGTTTGTTAGCGTTCCGGTCCTTTTGGTTTGCATGGCTAAAGAGTCCAGATGAATTGGATTGATTCTCTTTTTTAAATACTTAATTATGTGCAGAAGAAAAGAATTTCATTGTCAAGTCATGCTAGCTCACAACAGGACTTATATATATACAATGAGCACTCGTTAATTATTTTACGTGGCCCCCTAAAATCACATAATCTGGAAAGAGGCACTGTTTTGAAGAAGTGCTTTAAGTACCCTCACTCTCTTGATGACCCAGGTTAGAATCCGGGCTCCTACAACGTATAAATTTTTATTTTATTTTTAAACTGGTGCCTCCGTGATGCTCAAATTCTGCGTCTGCCTCTGGCTCACAAGAATGAATTTATTTTGTAGCAAGTTTGCTACTAATATGTACTTCACCACTTGCTGCATAGTTGACATTTCTGATTTGAATTCTCAGTCCTCTCCTTCGTTTTTGTTGTTTCATCTTTTTTATTGTATTTCAACCAGTGGTGAAGCCAGAAATTTCCTCAAGGGTGTTCAAACTTGAAAGAAGTAAATAAATTCCCGACAAAGGGCGTTCAATATATGTTATGTACCTCTAAAACTTGATAGTTTACCTATATACGCTATATAGTTTTCTGACAAAGGGTGGTCAATTGACCACCCTAACCAAAGTATAGCTTCACCCCTGATTTCAACAAGAAGTCATTCGAACGATTTAACTTTCAGCAAAGTGACTTGCTTAATACTGAAGCCAATCCAGCAGAAGTACAACTTCTGCTGGCTTGCTTCTACTTATGTTTAGTGCAAGGATATTTCGTTATGCACAATTATAAGTTGGTGAAAATAATTTACATTTATTCTAACGTTGTTAATGACTGCAGATTACTGGATGATCCTCTACTTGATCTCAAGTACATGGAGCTGAATATGCATATGGTAGTAGATAAACTAGCTAAATATGGATATGTATCTTGCAAAGCAGCCAATTGTACATTTTGCAGTCTTTTTGTAATGATCTTAGCAAACAGCACAAAGGATCATGCCGCCCGTCTGAACTGATGCATTATTAGATAATAGTACTATATATAATTTTCTCCTTTTGGATAAAAGAAATACAATCGTAACCTGAAGTGTATATACGTACAGTACTCCTTTTGGTATATACGTACAGTACTGCTGTACTCCTGGTTGCGAAATTAGATGTTATTGTTTTAGTGAATGATTTGAATCCAACATTTTACAACTACGCAGAGTTGGTTCTATTTTTCCCTGTGATACCAAATTGGCTGAAATACCATCTATTGGGTTCGCAAAATGTTAATTAGTGGAGTAGTTCATTTGCAATTTATGGTAGTTTTGATTGGTAATTAATTTAATATATGTAATGATATGTGGCTTAGTCCGTTTACAAAACTGAAGTTTGCTATTTCACTATGTTCATCAATTATAGGGTACGTTTTCTTTGTTTCTACAGATTTTGACTGCGATGACTATGTCCAGATATAAAAAAGATCACAATTGAATATATCAGGCTTCTTTTCGTCATTCTTTTCACCAACTTATGTTAAAATGTCCAAAATCCCTCTATTAAATTTTTAAGAGTCTCATCCAATTCCTTATAATGAATGTTCAATGAGAAAACATGATAAAAGCTTATAACCACGGAATTGCTATTAACAAAAAGTAAAACTCATTTCTACGCGGAAGGACACCGTCTCCGAGCAAAGGATAAATAGAGGTAAGCAAAAGAATAAATAGACAACTACAAAGAAAAGAAGAAAAATAAAGAGAAGATATGAATAAGGAAAGAGAAACGAAAAACGAAAAGAAAAGAGATGTGGATTTTCAGTTTCATAATTGACTATGTCATTGAAGATGTTAAGTTGGCATTGTTTTCTTTACTTTGCAAGCTTAAAAACAATCAAAAGTAAGAAAGGGTAAATCGTAATCAAATATAATAGACCTAGAGATGAAAAATAAAGTTGTTGTTGTAGATCTAATAGTGATAATATGAACTCAAGAGAAAGTATTCGTTAGAGATAGCGATAGAGAGAGAGTATGAGAAAATGAGAGAGTTGTATTATTCCAGAATAATCCCCCCTTTTTACAATGTGAAGGTCTCCCTTATATAATAAGAAACCTTCCTCGAAATAATCAAAAAGTTACAAAAATAGGTAACGTTTTCCTAGTGAAGACACTGAGTCCTAAACGATGTCACTTTTGTCCCCATGTCCGAGTCGTACCCTTACGTTAGTTGGCGTATACTCACTGGGCGTACCCATTGGCGTAGAGACGCCGACGGTCAGATTTGACCCTACACAGTTAGTCCCTCCGCTCGTTGGAGACGCATTCGGTGGGCGTCTTCAATGGGCGGAAATGCAAACCTCGGCTTAGGAGAATTTGACCTCGACCAGGGGCGGCAACATGAATGAGGTAAAATGTATGACGTTGTTGAGCCACTGACGCGTGGCTTTCTTTTTGGAATGACGTCATCGCCTGTATGCGTCATTATTATATTTGCCCCCGAGGCGGTTCAGAGGATGATGTGACATTTTGGTTTCCCGCGCACGTTTTGAATCATGACTCTTTGATTTCTGCGCAACTTATCTCTATAAATAGGAGAGAGGTTCGATTCGATTGAACTTTCAAACCTTCGGAAAGCATTTTCTGATTTACTCCTTTGTCTTTCTTTCCTGTAACCGTTATTTCATGTGGGATTCCTCCACTTCTTTTGAAATCATATTTCTCGTCGTTAGTGCATTATTTCCCAAATAGAATCATCATGGTAAAACGTAGTCAAGGTGGTAAAAAGACCAAGGACACTGACCCATCTAGGGTTCCTCCTTCCTCTGTCGGTGAGGGGGAGGAAGTAAAAAAGACCCTCGTTCCCCTTTCTGTAGACAACGTCCTCCCAAAGGACATGCATATTCGAAGGGATTTCAAACGAAAAGTCCAGCCCTTCCCTGGGAGCGTAGCGATTTACTGCAATCTCATCTAGACGACCTTCGAGTGACACACAACATTCCGGACCATGTGGAAATGGCTCCGGCTGGGATGGACTATGCCAATGTGCACAGGCCTGGGTACTGCACATTTTATGAGTACCCATTTTTGATCGGCTATAGTCTTCCGATCTTCCCTCTAGCGGAGGAGCTTTGTCGCTTTTACAATGTGTGCCCGGCCCAGCTTACTCCTTACACCTTGAAGGTGTGCAGGATCTGACCACGTACGCGGCTAAGGCTGAGTGCGGCGTCTCAGTTCACCATCTCTTACAGTTATTCAGCCTCGGTTACTTGAGGGGTACCACGTTGCAACTGAAAAGCCGTTGTACGAAGGGTTTGGTGGTTAAGGCTGACGACAAGGCCAACCGCCTCTTCTGGCGTAGGTACTTCTATATCAAGATGGAGCACCTGGTGTCTAAGCCTGAAGGATTCCCGGAAAGGTGGAACCCAGATCGTGAGTGCCTTTATTTGCAGGATTCATGAATAATCGTGACCTTGACCATTTGGCCACTGTGATTTCATTCTTTTCTCTTTTTTTTTGTAGCGAGGGCTTCCCCACCCCAGTTTATTAATGACATTAAATCATGGGTGGAAAGAATAATACCTTATGCGGAGGAATGCCGTACCTGGGCTGCATTTCTTCAACAGTACGGCCCGTCAGGTAATTCTTCGGCCTTGGTTTGGAAACTCCCTTAGATTCTGTTACCTGACTTACTCGTGTTGGCAGGTCGGAGCACCCCCAAGAAGAAGAAGGTCGTTGTTGCTTCGCTTAGGGCGGAGACCGACTCTGACGGTGAAGATATACCCTGCGGCTCGTTCGGCGATGGCGCTCCTGAGGTTCCTCAGCAGGAGGCTGTGCCTATGGCGGCGTCTCTAAGTAAAGCGACTCCTTCGGGGCCGTCCCTGCGGCTTATGGAGGAGTCCTCCGAAGGTGAGGAGCCGCCAGAGAGAAAGAGGCGGCGGTTGATAACGGGCAAGGGGATAACGACTGAAGACGAGAGGGTAAGTGAACCTCGACAAGTATCGAGGCCGACTTTTATGGCCGATGCTGTCCGTTCTGGGGGGTCGGCTCCACAAAGGAAAGTTGTTGCCGATGCCAGCCCAGCCCGTGTTCTGGAGAGCGGTTCGTCGGCCGCTGTTGAAGAAATGGGCGATGGTGCCGCGAGGGCGGATACTGAGGCCGCCCATGGAGATGTAGATAGGTTGGCGAGGGGTCCGGCCCACGTGGAGATGACGGCGGGTAGGTCTAACCGCCGAATTATGATCCCAGGAGGGTATAACCTATTGCAACACAGCGAGCAGGCTGCAGCGGATATGACCCTGTTATGTGCGGCCGCGGAGCGTGAAATATTGAGGGGTGTTAGCGACGGGGACCTATCACGGAGGGTCGCTGGTGCGGCCTTGCAGGTAGCTTTCAGTTTTTTCTGTGTGCCGTAAGGCTAACTGTGATGCGTACTGACCTGCCTTTCCTTTTTCTTCTCCTTTTTAGACTCTCATTTTGGAGGTGGAGAGGAGGCGGCAGGCGCACAAGAAGGCAGCCACTTTCAACAAGATGGCGAAGAAATACCAACGGTGCCACACCAAGCATCGGGCGCTGGCGGACCTGCTCAAGCAGGACCCGCAATTTTGGGTGTTTCGTGAGGGTCTCGAACAGTCGGAGGCCCAGTTGAAACGGAGGGTGGCTGAGCTGGAGCAGATCGACGAGCAGCTAATAACTGCTCTGGCTCGGAACATTGAGCTGGAAACTCTTCTCCAGTCTAAGGAAGAAGAGTTGGAGGTTGGCCGTGGGGTAGCGGCGAAAGCTGCTGATTTGCGGATCAAGGTTGCCGCTTTGACCACCGAACTCGATGCCAAGGCGGCTGAGATTGAAGTCCTTAAGTGGACTGCTGCACCAAGGCCTGACGAGGATGCGCATCGTGAGGCGCATGATATGTGGGTGTACGTCGAGGCCAGATTGGTCGTATTCGAGGAGTTCTTAGTTGCGGGTTGAGCCACTGAGGCGGAGGTTCAGGAGCAACGGCGCATAGCCCGTGTCGCCCGTGAAACTTGTGGGTATAGTTCTGATTCCCCAGATCGGGCGGGCTATAACTCCGAAGACGTCAACCGTCTAGAATCCGGCTCTTGGATTTCTGCAACTTATCAACCCGGGGGCGGCGATGAACAAGATGTCGGTCAGGCGGGGGATGAAGAGCAGAATGGCGGTCACGCTGTGGGTGACGGGCGAAGCCTCTTAGGACTTGTATATATTTTGTTTTGTTGTATTTTGTAATGTAAATGGGACCTTTTGTAAGGTCAGGTGTACATGCATTTTTTGAATGATAATGAAAGTCGTACTTTTGCTGCCATTCTTTTCCTTTTGTATCTTTTATTTTTGGTACCTTGTCTTCGCAGAGCGGGTACTCATTTGTAGGATTTTCAGTGTGTTTCTCGAACGTTGCTTGTGTTATCCGCCGATAAGATGTGGCTTTGACGCTAAATAGTGGTGGCTTTAGCTAATGATGGCATCACTTCAATCGTTAGTTGAGTGCCTTTCGTCGTAGTCGAACAGGATTGGCGATTGTTATGTCCGATTGGCCTTAGCCATAATACTGTCGATGGCCTTAGCCATGTACGTAACTTCGACTGTCGTCGAATTACTTGTTTGTCGTAGTTGAGCTGGGTCGACTTGTTGACGACGATGGCCTTAGCCATAATACTGTCAATGGCCTTGGCCATGTACGTAACTTCGACTGTCGTCGAATTACTTGTTTGTCGTATTTGAGCTGGGTCGACTTGTTGACGACGATGGCCTTAGCCATAATACTGTCGATGGCCTTAGCCATGTACGTAACTTCGACTGTCGTCGAATTACTTGTTTGTCGTAGTCGAGCTGGGTCGACTTGTTGACGACGATGGCCTTAGCCATAATACTGTCGATGGCCTTAGCCATGTACGTAACTTCGACTGTCATCGAATTACTTGTTTGTCGTAGTCGAGCTGGGTCGACTTGTTGACAACGATGGCCTTAGCCATAATACTGTCGATGGCCTTAACCATGTATGTAACTTCGACTGTCGTCGAATTACTTGTTTGTCGTAGTCGAGTTGGGTCGACTTGTTGATGACGATGGCCTTAGCCATAATACTGTCGATGGCTTTAGCCATAATACTGTCGATCGCTTTAGCCATGTACG